GCATTATATGATCCAGTGTAAGATACAAAATAGTAGACGCCCAACTTCGAGATCAACAAGCTGGATTCCGTAAGGATCGATCATGCACAGACCAAAATGCAACACCACGAATCATCGTCGAACAATCAGTTGAGTGGAACTCATCACTATACATCAACTTCATTGATTATGAAAAAGCATTCGACAGTGTAGATAGGAGGACATTATGGAAACTTCTTCGACACTACGGAGTTCCTTAGAAGATTGTTAACATTATCCGGAACTCATACGGCGGACTACAGTGCAAAGTCGTGCATGGAGGACAGCTGACAGATGCATTCCAAGTAAGGACCGGAGTCAGACAAGGCTGTTTACTCTCTCCCTTCCTCTTTCTTCTGGTGGTCGACTGGATTATGAAGACCTCGACATCTGAAGGAAAACACGGAATACAATGGACAGCTCGAAATCAATTAGACGATTTGTACTTCGCAGATGACCTAGCCCCCCTATCACGTACACACGAACAGATGCAGATGAAGACAGCCAGTGTAGCAGCAGTCTCTGCATCAGTAGGCCTCAGCATACACAAAGGGAAAACCAAAGTCCTCAAATTAAAAGCGGAAAACAACAATCCAATCACTCTTGATGGCGAAACTCTGGAAAATGTAGAGTCCTTCACATACCTAGGAAGCATCATCGATGAACAAGGAGGTTCAGATGCAGACGTAAAGGCAAGGATTGGCAAAGCAAGGACAGCATTCCTACAGTTAAAGAACATATGGAACTCAAAACAACTTTCAACCAATATCAAAGTGGGAATCTTCAATACCAACATCAAGGCAGTTCTACTGTACGGAGCTGAAACTGGGAGAACTACGTCAACCACAATCAAGAAAGTGCAAGTATTTATAAATAGTTGTCAACGCAAGATACTCAGCATCCATTGGCCGGATACCATCAGCAATAGCCTTCTGTGGGAGAGAACAAACCAACTTCCAGCTGAAGAAGAAATTAGGAAAAGACGATGGAAATGGATAGGATATACATTAAGCAAATCGACAAACTGCATCACGAGGCAAGCCCTAACTTGGAATCCTGAAGGGAAGCGAAAAAGAGGAAGGCCAAAGAACACATTGCATCGGATAATAGAAGCAGATATGAAAACGATGAATTATAACTGGACGGAGCTAGAAAGGATTGCCCAGGACAGGGTTGGATGGAGAATGCTGGTGAGCGGCCTATGCTCCTTCACGAGGAGTAATAGGCGTGCGTAAGTAAGTAACATTTGTGTCAGGTTTTCTCCTCACTTTATTCATTGTCTTTGATAGACTCTATGATGATATGAAGTAGAACTGTTAAAACATTACAGAAACTTTGTTAAAAAATAGTTTACAGAAACCATGATACGAAATTCCATTAATTTTATGAATTGTACACAAAGACGTGAAAATTATTATCAATCATGTTTCATGGAAGAATCATTTGAAAAGCTCGTGGAACTGTTTTTTGTTTTTCATCTCAATAAACAAGCTATTTTTCAAATCTTTCCTTACCTCTATAGTAAAACTATTCTTACTTAATGCTCTTAATTACTTATCCTAATTCAAGAATAGTAATTTCAATCAACCATAATGAAATCACCTGTATGGGATTGTGAAGTTTATTGAGTTTTATTGAGATCATGAATCTAAATAAAATAACCATTAATAACCTGTATAGGGTTTAGGAGATTATTAGGCTTCTGCACTATTAGATCCACGCTCAGTTGTTGTATAATTCTGAGTCCCAACAGCGGAAGGATGTCTGCATACGACCGAAGAGTCTAGTACTAAGGCGAAACGACTGTTCAATGCTTCCAAGTTTAAATGGTTGTCTAACTTAAATCGGTTCTTAGTCTTAATATCATAGTATAATAGTTTTTTTACATTTAAACTTCACAGTATTTTCGAGAAAAATTTCTTTGTTACATGTGAATTTTAATTTGTCAATGTATGTTATACTTTGTAAAATTAGATTTTTTTGATAAATTGAAAATATATATACCATCTAATCAGTGAATGACTGTTATGAGCTAATCAGACTATAATCATTTCTAAAATCAATGGTTTGTTATGTAAACTAATGTTTTTTTCTTTTAATTACCATCAACCAAAAAAAGCAGTAAAATAAACATTTAAGTATTTCTGAAACACGAATTGTGTAATACTATATAGAGTTATTAGAAAAAATTGTTAAAAAGGCCCATTAAGTTACATCTATAAAGACATCTAATATAGACAAATTGCTTGAATTCGCTACATCCATGTGTATTTATCGATTCGACTGTTCCTGTGGAGCCAGTTATATAGGGCGTACAATTCGGCAAGTTCGTCATCGTATAACAGAACACCATCCACAGTGGTTGAGCAAAAGAAAGGGAAGAGTGATTAAGAGTTTTATTCTCATTCACTTGGTAAACACAGGTCGTCAAGTTGAACTGAATAAAACTTTTAAGGTTATCCACCATATTCTATCAAATTTCCCACGTGGTTTACGAGTGCGTCTTTTTCACATTGCTGAAGCTATTGTAATCCATGTTCACAAACCTAACGTTTACGTCCAAAAGAAGTTTGTACAACCACTCTCGTTACCTTAGCCACCGGTTTAGAAGAGTTTGTAGCAGAACTTTGATAAACTGTTTTCGTATCCTTTCCATTTTTTGTATTCTCAACATTCGTCTCTTGATTCTTACATAACTACTATACTGCTGATCACTCATCAAAATATTTTATTAGTTCCTTTTCTCTTTTATATATTATGTAACGTAGGAACTGCTTGATTTTCGAATAATTACTTCATTATTAATCCTCTTTCTTTCAATTACTCCATGTTGATTTATAATCGTCATGTCATTATATAACTATTACGAAAAGTATTCACGCGATGAGTATTATTTCATTATTGTAAATAATATTTATATATACTGGTGTAGAGCCATAATGAAAAACTAATTAACAAGAAATTTCTTCGCTCGACTCGTTCCTTCTTTATTCTGTTATGATGAAGTATAAAGATATTTCAAAGGGGATGTGGCTAGTGAAATACTAATTCAGAGATTACGTCTTTTAACGCCGGAGAACTGTGATTAATAATTTCTACGCGCCCAATGGTTACACCGAGGCTAAAAGATGAAAAACCTAGAATGACCACCTCATTTTGTATTTATCAGTTCAACTGCTCCTGTGGAGCGAGTTATATTGGTCGAAGTTCTAAAAATTCACATTTTCATGCTCGTGAATGCCTTCCAGCGTGGCTAAACAAAGGTTTGATTAAGAAGGTGAACAGCTCAATAGTGGCCCATTTTATACAAACCAGTCATCGTGCCACTATAAATCAATCTTTTTCAATTATCAATAAGATCAGTAATTTTTTGCCAAAACTGGTCAGACTGAAAGTCATTCAAACGGCTGAAGCAGTAACCATCCGAATGAAGAAACCGGAGCTATGCGTACGGAAAAAATATATTCAACCACTCCTCCACCCCTGGCCAACATCAAGGCCAATTAATCAATCGTAATCTTAACTACTGAATGACCTAAGTTGACTATGACCTTTCGTAGTCAATTGTAATTGTCTCTGTTATCTTTATTCATAAATCTTCAGTATCAGAAGGGGTTTTGTGGAGATTGTAGTAATTTCAACAGTTGAGATCATGAGTCGATTGAAGCTAGACCATCATGGAAAACCTGGAAGCACTGGACGGCCGTTTCATCCTATTGTGGGACTCCTCAGCAGTGCGCATCCGCAACCCCGCCTCGCGGATTTCGAACCCAGGACCTATCAGTGTAGTGCCAGCCGCTTAACCATGGTGGTCTAGCTTCAATCTACTCATAAATCTTTGTACTACTATTATTATTGGTTAAACATCATTAGTCTCCCCTATACATGATTCATTCACTTCGCATTTATCCCTCCGTATTACGTCTTACTTATTTGATTGAATTGTAATTGCACTATTATTTCTATCTCACCCTATTTGACCCATATTTATTCTGATCATGGATCTTAAAATTTCACTTAACATATACGCAGATTCAAGTTAACATTCTATATGAGTCATATTAACATTATCAATTTTATTGTATTTTATTTATCACAATCCTAAATTCACATGCTTTAAACTATGTACTTTGCCCATAACCTGGCCATTTTTCAGATTATTAATTTGGATATATGAATTGTAGAACCTGAAGAGAATTTATCGAAAAAATTTTCTTCATTAAAATACTAGTCTTTCAAAATGTGACAGGGATGTTTAAACGATGTTTCAATCTATTCAATTAATTTTTAATACAATAATTAAGCTTTAGTTAACTGGATAACTGGGATTATCAAACGCATTAGGAATAAGTGAATTTTCGACGAAAAAAAAAGACCTATCACTTTTTTTCCCCATTGAAATATCATTACTCTGTTTACAAATCAGTTTGAACTTGTTTAAATGTATGGAAAAAAAAACATTATTTTACACAAACAAGACCTGTTTGCCTCTATTGTTCAATGATCTAGATATTTGACAAAATATGTTATCAATATATCCATTTGATTATTCTGTCCGTAAGTTGATCATCACGATTATTATTACTACTACTAACTAACACACAAATTACCCTTGGTTTTTTTGTTAAACTAACGAATCTATAAAATATGAGTACACATGTACACAATTGTTAAAAGTATCATCAAACGAGAGCAAACAGTTTTAAATATAATTAAATTGGTGACTCAGCATTTAATTGAATTGCATCAATAGTGATATTTTCATTGGTTTAAATTATTTTGTGTGTCCATAAGTGGGTGTGCACGCGATTCAATGTGCAACTTCATATATTGAATAAACAATTAATGCAAAGAAATAAAGATGTGTTTGCATGTGTATATTGTTTGTTACTTATCTACAAGTTAGACGAATATATTCAATTAAAGAAAACCAGTGATCCTAGTCATTTAAGCCTGAATTATGGAATGGTTTAAATAGTTTCATGTTTAATTATCTAGTAAGAATGTTTTGTGGTGAATTTGAAACTGATGAACTATCCAACATTAATGTTGAAGGCAATTCTGGTACTAAAGCATCATCAACCTCATCAATTTCTTGTGGATGTATAGGTAGGTACGATTTAAATTGATCTTTATCAAGGTAAATTAAACATTCATCTATCATATGTTATGACTAAAACATCCTTTTGCTCAAAGCGCAGATTGATACAAGAATGAAAACAATTAAATGGAGTTTCTGTTATTCAATGGTTATATATTTATACCAAATTATAGTGTTCTGTTGAGTTGTACGTCACATGTGAAGTTTGCTTTATAAGCCTTACAAGTAATAGCGATTACTATATACTGAGGAGTGTATTTTTTACCATACATATGACTGGAGGAATTACTACGCAGATACTGTTAAAATCATGCGATTTAACTAATTTAGATTGTTATGTATTAATCTTAAGTATATGCTAAATTAGAAGTCTGATAAGTTATGTATTCGATATAGATTCATTCCACCTAATATTTATGCCGGCCTGTTAAAGAAGGATATTTCGATATATGATTCACCGTAGTCGTCTGACAATAATGTGCCAAGTACTAAAAGCATACGATCAGATTAATTGGAATAAACCTCTACTAGTGCTGTATGCTCATTGCTCTTTTATTCTACAAGTAACTTTAAACTTTCTAATCACCCGATTCTCTGAGTTGGATCTAAATTTCACTCAGTTAAAAGTTTGTTCATAGAAATCCTGTATTCTAAGTCATGTTGGATGCAAACTGGTTGAGTTAGACATGAAGACTTTTGTAGTTTGAACGTTTACACTATACTGGTTCACATGCAGTAATTCTAAATTCTATAAATGATCAAGTTATATAGAATTTCCGTGTTATTTTATTCAGTGTGAAAAAACTAGCAAGTCATATCGACTATGTTCTAATGAAAATATCATACATTATGCTGCATTTTTTTCTACCTAATTATTTCCATCTTTCAACCCAACCCCTTTTAATTAGTTATTAGTCTTATGATGACTTTGTAAATATTTTCTATTATTTGTAATCTATGTCAGCAACCTGAGCCTATCTAATTAGTTTTTCAACTAGCCTGAATCTTAAAGTCATCCCTTGGTGTCAAAAGTCTTATGCATATTAACACAGAACTGTACTTCAATATACATGAAATACGATTGCCACTTTGACTGCATCTAAGTAATAAGTTGACATGCTTCATTCCATGTAATTATTTGTTTTTTTTTTATTTTATGCAATTTTATAATGGCCTTTCATATTAGGACGAACATTACATACAGAAACCAAAATACCCACTTTTCGACAGGAAAAAATAATGGCTGTAATTTGTGGTATTGAAGTCAATTTGAACTAATCACCAGGGCTAACCATTCGTACCTGTCTCATTAGTAGAGTAATATATCTAAAACTTAACAATCACCAAAATTGAGAAAGTAATCGGTTAGTGAATTCAGAAGTAAACAATATATTATCGCCAGGAGAGAATTACTTATTTTACAAACTATTTCAAGTAGTAACTAGTACATGTTAGATACTGATTAAGTTACTTTAAGCAGTACATGTTTGCAGTTTAGATCTTTTACAGCCGTTCTTCAGTACACATATCTTTTAGCTTTAGAACAACATGGATTGCTTTATTGGGTTATTTTCAATTGCCTATTAAATGTTTTAAAAAAATATCAACAACATTAATTAGGCTCACATTACGGAAAGCTTAATATGCTTTCTATAATCTCGTTGATTTTGTTTATTAATAATATCTATAGGTTTACTTCATCACCCACTTCAGGTACAAACCAATACAGGATATAAAAGGTTCTCTCTACTGCTATTAGCTAACAACAAACGAAATGTTTTGTTGGTAACTCCTTATTTTCATATATGTTATGATAACTTTAATCGTTCTTCTGAAGTTCAGCAATATAATAATTTTCTTTTGAATGTGAACTTAAAGATAGAATATTATGCAACAGAAGTAATCTATATATAGAACATAAATATCGAGAAACTGAGGAACGTTGATAGTCAGTACTTGACGTAGCCAAGTCAGAGAACCATTTCATGAAGTCTATGGTCAGACGAATAGTGCTCGAATATAGTCTTCAGTACCGCTAATTTTTTAGTGTATATTTCAGTCAGAGATACTGCATTTAGGTCAAAGATTCCGATTTCCTTCAGCCTGTAGTAGGTCGAGTATTTAATTTGAAAACCCATACCTAAGCCCTAAATTTTTCTAATTTTCTCAAGGTTACTACTTTCAGACAGTATTTGCGTCCTATGTGATTACAAAACATAAGATCTTAGGCACTATTCTAGTCTACACTTTCTCTCTATGGATGGTACAACAGGATTTCATTCTTTTTGTAAACTGGCATGACCAATGCTCCCGAAAAGTCCAGTGTATTTACACATAAGCCCCCAAAATCTAATTAATTTCCTAAAAATATCTTACAATACTGCGCTACTAGATGTCTAAACCTCTAGACCTAAACTTTAAAAAACTCCTGATCTATCTCACTTGAAGTTCATTTCAGCCTTCCCAAATCCACTAATAAACATTTGTACGATTTCACCCATTTAAGTCTTAACATAGGTTACAGAACCGTCCGGTTTACAACGTCACTCAAACTTAAAAAATAAATTATTTAAGTAACTAAATCTGATACGTATTTATTACTCTGTCGACACGCTTGAACATCATGCTACTAAGTATCTGACGGCGAATATATCAACAAGGTCCCCACTATTCGTTTAAGTTAAGCGTTTTAATACCAGCTATAAAATAATTATATTGGTTCGTAGTATATTTTTTGAGAAGCTTTCTAAAATTAACATAAGGTTCGTTACAACCTTTCAGTTAGTAGTTTACTTTGCGAACTGGAATCAGCTAGAAAGTCATTAAAATGAAGAGGTACTAATCAGATGTTTCATTACGTTATAAGATTATTCACTAGTGCAAACCGACGAAACGTCCAGGAAACAAACAAAAAATCTCCAGTGCATATTCTTGAAGTTAAAGTGGGAAAAAATGGCCAGTTAAGTTCAACCGTATTACATATGATATATGGATCTCAGATGATGAATCACCTAGACTTAAAAATGTAACATATCTTACTTACTTACATACTTACGCCTGTTACTCCCAATGGAGAATAGGCCACCGACCAGCATTCTCCATTCCACAATTTCCTGGGCCTTTCTTTCTAGTTTGATCCAGTTGTTGTTCATTCTTCTCATGTCTGTCTCCATTTCCCGGCGTAATGAGTTCTTTGGTCTTCCTCTCCTCCTCTGGCCCTCAGGATTCCATGTGAGGTTATGCCTTGTGTTACAGTTTGGTGCTTTCTCCAATGTGTGTCCTATCCACTTCCAGCACTTCTTCCTGATTTCTTCCTCCGCTGAGATCTGGTTTGTTCTCTCCCATAGTAGGTTGTTGCTGATAGGGTCCACCGTGTTCATCAATGATACTGCCCAGATATGTAAAGGTTTTTACATATCCCAAGTCCTCTCCGTCAATTGTGATTGGATTGGTGCATGGTGTGTTGTATCGGAGAATCTTGCTTTTCCCTTTGTGTATGTTAAGACTTACTGCAGCTGAGGCTGGTGCTACAATTATCGTCTTCTCCTGCATTTGCTGTTGTGTGTTATGGAAGAGTAAGATCATCTGAGAAGTCTAGATCGTCCAAATACATCCTATATGTCAACTTTATCCCGTGCTCTTCCCAGATGTTGACGTCTTTATAATCCAGTATAGTAGATCAGCAGGAAAAAAAGAAAGGATGAGAGTAAGCAACTTTACCTGACACTGGTCTTTACTTCAAACGAGTTTGTCAACTGTCCTCCATGCACGATTTGGCAGTTTAATCCATCATAGGAATTCTGTATGATATTGAATATCTTCTGAGGCACGCCATAGTGTTGAAGGAGCTTCCATAGTGTTGTTCTGTCTACGCTAGCAAATGCTTTTTCGTAGTCAATGAATCCCATTCAATTGACTGTTCCACGATGATCCGTAGACTTGCAATTTGGTCTGTACACGATCTGTCGTTACGGAATCTTGCCTGTTGGTCTCGAAGTTGGGCGTCTACGGAGTCCTTTGTCTTGTTTAACAATACCCTGTTGAAGACCTTTCTCGGTATTGAGAGAAGAGTGATGCCTCTGTAGTTATCGCACTTGCTGAGATCGCCTTTCTTCGGTATTTTGATCAGGTTTCATTCCTTTCAGTCTGTTGGTACTTTTTCTTCACTCCAAATCTTGCTGAAGAGAATGTGGAGTATCCTTGCAGTTACCGCTACGTCTGCTTTTAGTGCCACTGCTGGAATGTTGTAGGGTTCTGCTACTTTGCCACTCTTGATTTGTCTGACGGCCATGCTGACTTCTTCAATTGTTGGTGGGCCAACATCGACTGGGAGGTCCGTGGGTGCTGCTTGGATGTTGGGTGGTTGCTTGGAATTACATATAGTTCACAAAATAAATGACAAGTTGTTCATCGATGATCCTGAAGACTATTCATTATCAGTAGGCAATATTTATTTTACTATAAGATAGAAATGACTAATTAGAATCCTGTTATTATTTAGATGGTCTCAAGAAAGCTACTGAATTCATTGAGATTAGATCTAGAACACTAAAATCACGTGCTAAATAGACTATCTTTAAATTAAAGAGTTAGTAACCAACTCTTAGTTATTCTGTGTTCAATCATTTCACGATATTGTGAGTGATTCAACGAAGATTAAGTTTATTTGCGTATAATGTTGATACCTGTTGAAAAATTACTAAACATATCCAATTATTTATTAACATTTGATATGTTACTTCTCGTGAAGGAGCATAGGCCGCTCAACAGCATTCTCCATCCAACCCTATCCTGAGCAATCCTTTTCATATCTGTTTCTATTTCTCGATGTTATTTGTTCTTTGGCCTTACTCTTTTCCGCTTCCCTTCAGGATTCCAAGTTAGGGCTTGTTTCGTGATGCAGTTTGACGATTTGCGTAATGTATGTCCTATCAATTTCCATAATCTTTTCCTGATTTCCTCTCTAGCTGGAAGCTGGTTTGTTCTCTCCCGCAAAAGGCTGTTGCTG